TGAGACGTATCTTCCTAAACCCTAAAGAAGTCGCACTCATGATATGGTGGGATGATGAGCGCAAGGTGGATGATGATAAGATGGATGATGATAAGATTGCACACTCGGCTGATTGTAGTCAGTGGCAAAGGTTTGATGAGAAGCACAAAAAATTCAGCGATGACCCAAGAAATGTACGGTTTGGCTTGAGCACCGATGGAATGAATCCCTTTAATGAGAGGATGAGCGACCACAGCACTTGGCCAGTGATCTTGACCATATACAACATCCCAACATGGTTGTGTTAGAAGAGAAAGTACCTTCTCCTCACTATTCTTATTTCTAGCCCTAAACAACCATGCATTGATATAGACGTGTTCCTCGAGTCTTTGATGCAAGAAATGGAGAGGCTATGGAGATATGGGGAGCAAATGTACGATGCGTTCCAAAAAGCGGACTTCATATGTGGAGCAATAATATTTGTTACTACCAATGATTACCCCGCGCTATTTACTTTGTTTGGACAGATCAAAGGGAAGACGGATGCTTGGTTTGCTTGGATGGTACTACATGGGTATACCTAGATGCATCCAAGAAGATAGTTTACCTAAAGAACCGACGCTTCTTAAAGATAAGTCACAAGTACCGCAGCAAATTGTTCTTTAGATTTTATGACAACGCCCCGGAGATTGAACCCCCTCCGGAGAGACGTCATAACGGAGAACACGTGTATAGAATGGTGAAAAACATAAGTGTCGTCTATGGAAAGAAGAATCTGGATGGGACGAACAGAGATAGAAGCACACCTCCTGTCGAAGGTGAACCTTTCAAGAAACAATCGATCTTCTTTCAGTATTTGCCTTATTGGCCAGACTTGGAGGTCTCCCATTCTATTGATGCTATGCACGTATAGAAGAATGTCTTTGAGAGTCTCATTGCTACCTTGATGGACACAGGCAAGTCAAAGGATGGTCTAAAACACGGAAAGACATGGTGCAGCTAAACGTGATGCCACAGCTTCACCCGATACCTAAGGCTAATGGAAAATACACTCTGCCCGCGGCGTGCTTCAACCTAACACCAGACGAGAAGAGAGCTATATGCACTTTCCTAAGGGGGGTCAAAGTCCCGACTAGGTTTTCAATAAATGTGAAGAAGCTAGTGTCGATGAAGGACTTGTCAATAACACACTGCAAGGCTCACGATTGTCATGTGATGCCGACAGTGTTTCTACCTATTGCAATCAGGGCTATAAAGCCAGAGTTCTTGAAAATGGCCATCACCCGCATGTGCTACTTCTTTTCGAAGATCTCACAGAAGACGATTGGCAAGCAAGAGCTGGAGTGACCTATATGAATTTGTGGTGGAGACACAAAACCAACTAGAGATGTATTTACCTCCTGCTTTTTTTGATATAATGCCACATCTCATAATTCACATAGTTCATCAGATACAGGCACTGGGCCCTTGCTACTTGCATGAAATGTGGTCCTACGAGCGGTTGATGTTAGTTCTAAGTCGATATGTGCATAATCGAGCATACCCAGAGGGCTCCATGATAGAGGGTTATAGTACTAAAGAAGTCGTCGAGTGCTGTCAAGAGTACCTAAAAGTATAAAAAGGGATTGGTAAACCTAATTCTTGTCATAAGGGTAGGCTGGCTGGGAAGGGCACCAGTGGTAGAAAAGTGTTCATCGACCATGATTATAAAGAGGTGAGTCAGGCGCATTACAGTGTCTTGCAGAGTACACAACTGATGCAACCGTATATTGATGAACACTTGGCTATCATTATGACGGAGAAAAATGGTCGTTCGGATGATTAGGTCATGAAACAGCACAAGCAACGACTAACTACATGGTTGAAGGACCAAAACATACCGCCTAGAGAAACTATAGACTCTATTACCATCAGTAGGTTGACGGAGGGGCCATCGAGACAAGTGACATCTTGGAATGCTTATGACATCAATGGGTATACGTACTATACCCACGCAAAGGATAGTAAATATGTGAACCAAAACACCGGTGTTCGAATAGAGGCTCTCGATGGATTGGAGCGAAAGATCTAATACTTTGGCATCATTAAAGAGATATGGGAACTTGACTATGGAAGGGATATAATGGTGGCCCTGTTTTGATGCCGCTGGATCAAACAACACCAACAGAACGGGATCGGATTGAGAGTCCTGGACCTCGAGAATCAAGGCTACCAAGATGACCCTTGGGTGCTCGCTTCACGTGTCGCACAAGTTTTCTATATGTCTGACCCACAAAGTAACCTCTCCCCGAAGAAGAAGACAAAGCACGTGGTTGCCTCCGAGAAACAACACATTATCGGAGTTGATGGCGTGGACGATGTTGAAGCTTACAATAACTACGATAAGATGCCGCTATTCACATACTTTCCTAAGAAGATCAGTGTTGTGGAAAAAACCTACCCAAAGACATATTGCCATGGGAACGAAAACGTGTCAAGAGGAAAGTTGTTACAGCAGGCTAGCTAGTTGTTGAACGTGGAGTGTTTGTGTAAGTGTGTGTTTGTAAGACTTCATTTATGCATGCGTGTGAGACTATATATTTATGTATGTGTGTAAGACTATATATTTTTGTATGTGTGAGACTACATTTATGCATATGTGTGAGATTATCCTTTGCAACATCCAGATGAATCTATTTCAACATCCACTCTATTACTACTAAAACTTTATGAAATCACTTAATACTTTATTAAATGAACAAATGGCTAAAATAAAAGTAGGAGATCTTGACGAGTTATACAACTTTTATATTCATCACCTTTACAGCTTGAAATCATTTAGTGGTTGAAAATCAGGTTTGAAGCTGTCATTTTCTGAAATTCAAAATTTGAACTGTTCAAATTTTGTCAAATAAAAAGATGACCAAAATAAAAGTTGTAGATAGTGATGTGTTCAACAACTTTTATATTCATCACCTTTATAGCTGAAATCATTTATTGGTTGAAAATCAGGTTTGAAGCTGTTATTTTCTGAAACTCAAAATTTGAATTGTTCAAAATTAGTGACAAAGATAGATGACTAGACTCAAATGATAGAGCATGATTTTAAAAAATTTTAAGAAAAAAAACCATCACATTTAGAGTTAGTATGAGGGAGAAAAACTAGTTAAAAGTTTCAGCCATAGATTAAAAAAAGAAATCACACTTGTTCATTATTAATCATCATGAATAGTTGTGATTTTTCTTTTTAATCTCATGGTAAAATTTATAACTAGTCTTTCTCCCTCATTTGTAACTAGTCTTTCTCCCTTAGACTTGTTCATTATTGGTCATTCTTTTTATTTGACAAAGTTTGAGCAATTCAAATTTTTAAATTAAAAAAAATTGACAAGTTCTAACGAGATTTTCAACCATTAAATGATTTCAGCTGAAAAAGTGATGAATATCAAAGTTGTATAACTTATCAAAATCTACAACTTTTATTTTAATTATTTCTTCATCTGACAAAGTTATAGTAAACATTGTTCATAAATCAACATGTTTTCGTATAGTTCATGAAACTATGAGTCATATGTGAATTTATGAACAATATTTACTAATAATTTGTCACATGAAGAAGTGACCAAAATAAAAGTTGTAGATAGTGATGAGTTAAACAACTTTTATGTTCACGACTTTTATTGTTGAAATCATTTAAGGTTTCAAAATCTTCTTTGAAGTTGTCATTTATTGAAATTCAAAATTTCAACTATTCAAATTTGGTCAAATGAAAAGATGATCAAAATAAAAGTTGTACATATTGATGAGTTCTACAACTTTGGTATTCATGAGTTTTTTAGCTGAAATCATTTACTCTTTCAAAATATTATTTGAAGTTGAAATTGTTTGAATTTCAAATTTTAAATCGTTCAAAAAAAGTCACATGACAAGATAACCAAAGTAAATGGTGTACATGTTGATGAGTTATACAACTTTTATGTTTACAATATTTTCATTTTATTTCATTTAATGTCAAAATTATAGTCAAAGTTTTAAAATTCAAAATTTTAATTTTTGTTTTTTTCTATATTGTTTTCTATATTGTTTATATATATATATATATATATATATATATATATATATATATATATATATATATATTTCTGCATATATAGAATAATACAAAATATTATATTTGTGCATATATATAATTGTTTTTATATTACTTTGTGTTTTTGTAATATAAAAAAATACAGAATTAATAATTAAATTAAATAGAAAATATTTGTAGGGGCAGCTAGATCAGGAATCGCCCCCTACAAATGTATTTGTAGGGGCGGCTGGATTAAGAACCGCCTTACAAATCACCCTTGGTATATAAACAGGGGCACTCGGGTGACAAATTGTTGGGCGCTCTCTTCTTCCTCCCGACGCCAGTTGTCTCTCACACCCCGGCCGGCCTCCCCGGCCGCCGCCTCCTCTCTCTCCGCACCGCCTCTCCCCGCCTCCTCGGACCTCTCCCAACACCGGCGCCTCTCTCCGCACCCCCGGGCCACAGCTCGACATCCCAGGCCACCACTACGCGCCAAGGCTGCTCGGCCGCGTGCTCTAGCTGCAGATCAACTTCGGTGGTGGCTAGGGTTTGAGCTCCGCCGTCAGGCTGCCTCTCCGTACCCCCAGCTCGACATCCCTGACACTGGCGCTCCCTCTCTGTCAGGTCTTCTACAGGTACTCCCAACCCCTTCTCCATTCCCCGGCCTTCCTAGCTGGCCATTTCATTCTAGGTCGTTGCTTCTGTTTGTGAGTTTGTCGGTAGAGAGGAGTTCCCAAATCGAAGTCAACAAACAACTTGATTATTAGGTACATGGAATCTTGCCCTAAGCTAGCTAGCTGCGTTCTCATCAGTGACATTGAATTTCTAACTCAGGTATAGACTTTAACAAAACCAAAAACAATGTACCTGCTTTGAATATATAAGAATCTTATCAAATTCCCTCCTTTCAGCAAAAGCAGCAACAACTTTAGGGGTTGCCCTGGCCTTTATGTATATTTTCAGTGCAAGATCATTGTCCAGTCTACATCAAAGGGTAAAAGAAATTATTAGCAACAACCAAGACAAATGAACGTAGTTTGGCATAGTACAGAAAAACCATAAAATCAATAGACAGCATAGGACCCATCTTACCTTGATAAGATCTCCCAATTCCTCACTGCACTCCAGTTTGTCTTCAGCCAACCAATTTTCCAGAAGATTCTTTTTGTTCTGATTGACAACAAGTCGAGATAGCTCAAGAGACTCGAAGGCATTGAGCTTCCCTCGAGTTAGCAATGTGCCAAAGTACTGCAAGAGTGGGGGTGTTTGCCCAGCTTGCACAGGGACAATCTGCAATTTTAATAAACAAACATAAGAATAATTCAGTCAAACAAAGGAGCCTATAGAATGAAAGTTGATTAAATGTACATAAGTCATGATAGCAGGAGTACATGACTAACTGTAGTACTTATCATCTGTATCTATTAAAAGTATAAAACTGAGAAATGACCAGTACATGTGAGAAAACTAACTGTAGTACTTATCATCTGTATCTATTAAAAATATAAATAAAACTGAGACAGATGTTTGTGTCACTAAACCCAACAATTTGGGAGTGATCCATTTCCAAAATACAACCTGCAGTTGAAAAGTAAATATATGGAACATGTTACTTCAAGTACATCTCGTTGACAGCTAGAAAAATGATGTCATATGCAACAATATTGAAAAGTGTTTTGTACCTGCTCCGGCATCTGGTGAGACTTGATCTTAGTCTTAGCCTCAATGTTAAATATTTGAAGGTGATCCTGTGTTGTTCCAGGTATTTGGGCTGTAAAAAATTCAGCAGATGTTTACCATTGTTTCAAATATTCTCAAACTACACGTTAAACAGCTAATATATAGCTACTCAATGTCTGAACCAGTCGGTACTTACTTCATATTTCTCAAAATCCCGAGTCATTACTGTGATTTTTCAGCATAAGTAACAATCTGTGGAGGGGTTGCTGGAATTGTGAATTGTAGCTACTGTAACTTAATTTTTGAATGAACTTCTGATTATCATTTTGAATGTTCTAGATGGTATTTTCCCGATGATAATAATGATCTCATTAAGCAATATTGGGTAGAAGAGGAGTCGGCAATCGTGACCTCTTGTTCCTTCCTCAATCCTCGATCATTAGTAGCTACTGCTAGAAAAATATATATAAATCCTCAGTAAGAATAAGTATAAGTATAGGGAGAAATAAATGGAGCACAGAACCAGTTATATCACAGATAGCTTATATAGACAATCATATACTCCTTGTATTATGAACCGGTGGGGAATCTGGACAGAAATACATGCTGTTTACTTGTTCATTCTCTAATTTTCATGGGGGATCCTGGATAATTGATATAGTAGCAACATAGACAGTATCTTAGTCAGTAGCTGGCTACTCCTTTGGCTGCCTTTTGAATCCTTGATTTTTGTCTATATATTGTGGTGCGGGTTTAGTTGCTACTTATCTGTCTTATTTGAAATGTTTTTGCTGTTGAATGTTATTGAGGTGAAGTTTTAGCTCCTTGATGGTAGATTGACAGCCAACTCTCTCATTGTTGTTAACTGTTGAGGTGAAGTATTCTAGTTGAGATTGTTCTTTCAGCTTCTGGACACTCCTACTGTGAGCGTGGTAGGATTTGTGTTATCCAGCTACTCTGAAACTGGTACTCAATGAACTTTAGAAAGTTTCAATGCAATGATCTGAAATTCAATCATCAAGAGTGGTTTCTGCTACGTTAATATGTCTTCCCTCAAAAGAGACCTTTACTTTATTACAAGTTGAAACCTACTTTCTATGGATTCATGAATAAAATGTTGAGTGTGCATGGGTACAACTTTATTTTAGCTGAGGAGTCCTGATACTGTCTTTTTCCCCCTACCCATGCCTAAATAGTTGCAGTTCCTAATTTTAGTTCATGTGCCGTAGTTTTCTTTTTTACTTAAGCAATAGGCTGATTCACTTTATCTTAATTATAACTGGAACAACCATAATCTTGAATCTGTGACATGCCTGTGTGCCATACCAACCAGTTGAAGTGGTGCAAATCCTCATGTACCAGCGATATTTCCTACTGTCCATTTATGCATCAGTTCGTCAACAAGCAAATCAGGCATAGTGAGCTAGTTTGTGAGTTGAGTAGCCCTACTATACTGATGCAAAATATGTCATGACATTTCAACTTCCCTTAGTGGTCTGAATCTGAAATATGTCATGTCAAGGGCGCCGACCCTGACATTTCAACTTCCCTTCTCCGAATCTACAGCCTCCCTAGCCACAGATTATTTGTTGCCCTTAGAATCAAACCCCTATTCTTCCCTAGAATGGCTTGCTTTGCCTATTTTCTCACATCTCTTCGATATTGTTAATTATTGTAGTCTTTGTGTTATCTCTTAAGTTGGTCTTGTATATTTTATTGAAATGTTTCCATTAGCTTATAGTTATTAGTGGTTTAGTTTTAGTAGTCTTTTTTGTTCAGTTTCATTCATTTCCATTTTGATGTGGCTGTGTGTGTTGACTGTGTGCTTTCATTTGTGCAAGTGTGAACTATTTTAATTTTTTTTTTTGAATCTCAGTTCGAGTTAATAACTTGAGCAGATGGTCGTGCAGAGCGTCTTTGTGGGCTTTGCTTGCTTGGTCCCCTTGGTATGGCAGCTTTGCTTTTTGGAAGCTTGTGGACGTTTTTTTGGCCAAATCTTCCATCTCCTCTATTTTGTGTCACATTTTCTATCCTCTATGTTTGGAAAGCAGCAGCTGCTTTTTTACACATTTTCCTCTCTATGTTTGTTAAGTAGCTGTTGCTTTTTTATCAAATCTCCCTCTCTCTTCTCTTTTGTTTTGCCGATGATGAAATTGTCTAAGTCCATACATTATATGGAATATGAGCTGATGATCAAGAACTTGTGAGAACTTGGCATCATTAGCAGCCCTTCCTACATTACCTTCTCCTCTTTTCTCTCATACGCTGTATGATGCCTTGATGCTCCAAGTTCATAATCAAATGATGATTGACATGTTTCGAGGCCTCTACTACTGCTACTACTCATTTTTTTGATATATTGTTATTTTATAGGACTACTTTGGTTTATAGATCTTTTTGATTTCTTATACCTTCTCGCGCGGAGATACCTAAAGCACACTTTCTTGCATCTATTAGAACAAAGCACGAAATAATATCACGAACACCACGGAGAGGAGAACCGCGCTGCCCCGATGCCCCGAGCATGATGAGCAGCCAACCTATGAGGAGCAAGCACTAGAGGACCAGCTTACTTAGGAGCAGCCGATAACGAAGTTAGAAAAGGATCTAGAAGTGATGCTTACTCAGGAGCAGTGTGACGAGGAGGAAGGGGGGCAGAAGAAAGAGAAAGAGAGGCTGCTAAAGGCGAAGAAGTTGTTGTTGATGATGATGACTCAGAAGAAGGATATGTAAGTCCTGAGGATCCTTTCCAATGTGAAGCCAAAAGGAGGTCAACAGAGGAAGATTTGGACAAGGATTTTAACCCGAACGAGGAGGTAGGGAAAAAGCCTTAGCTTGTAAATTTTGCTAAAACTTTGACTGTGTTACCTCTACTAACACTTTGACCTGTCGTATATACAGGTCTCTCCTGAAACTTAGAAAAGACAACATCGATATCCATGACATCTTGCTGGACAAGACGGAGTAGAGGAAAAGAGAGCAGAGGCAACAACTACAGAGATGAACATTGAGGCCTCTGCTCCACAACCTCAAGACACAACCACGACTACCAAGCCTAAGAGGAAACGAGGGGATAGAAAAGCAAATCTATACCAGATAAGGCATGCTATGTGATAACGGAGGTCGGGCCAACAGGGGAGATCCTTGAGCTGAAGGAATTACGAGGACGATTCCGTAATACGATCGGGGCCCTAGTAAGAGATAAATTAAACCCATCAATCCCTAATTGGAAAGAGGTACCAGAGAACAAAAAGGATGAACTATGGGATAGGCAAATTGAAGCTCAATTTTAGATTTTCGGAGGGTAAGCACGAATCGGTAAAAAAATGCTTTCGTGATGATGGGAGAGTCATTCCGACGTTGGAGGTTGGAGCTCAACAAGAAGTATATCCAAAAGGGGTTAACTCCTTCAACGAAGTTCGCAAAATAACTCCTAGTCAATGGGAGAAGCTCGTGGCTCGGAAGACTTCACCCGAGGCATTGGAGCTCAAAATCGGTCTGCAGTAACACCAAGTCATGAAAGAGAAACAAACACCACCATCATCTAGGCCCCGATGACTACTATGCCAAGGAAGAACAGTTTAGGAAGATGGACGAAGAGGCCGCAGCTGCTGAGAATATCGATGTGATGAATTTAAAAGTACCCTCAAAGAATTGGATATATGCGAGGAGTACCGAATCATCTGGCGATAATCTTAAGTTTGATAAGCCAGAGACCCAAGAGGCAGTATCAAGGACACTGAAATATGCTGAAGACAAGGAGAAGGGCTTATTCAATCCTTCCAGAGAGAGAGATGAGCTTAGCCTTGGCTTGGGAAACAAGGAGCACACATGCTGCACTAGGGGGCTAGGGAAAAGGACGACCTAAAAGCAAGGATTCGAAGAGGACAGGCACATGTATAAGAAACATGGCGAGACCGAGAGACTAATCTTGAGCTCCAAGTGAAGGCTCTAGTTACGGCGCTGGGAGGAGCAAGGACTGTCTATGGAGCCACGGATATTAATGACGCCACGGAGAAGAATCATTATTAGTTGGCAGCCCTCCGAAAGTTCCTCGCAACCAAGGTTCCACTGCAGCCACAACCCCCATCAATCACATACGGGAACCAACTAGTTGCACCTTGGTGTTTCTCAAATGACTAGCGAACACTATGATAGAGGTGGCAACAGGTGTGGCACATCCTCCCGGTGGCTTACACCACAATAATAAGATACCGCCGGACTACACTAGGGTCAAGGTGCATACCGTGAACCCCGAGTTCATACAATAGAGGATAGACTACGCAACTCCTAAGGGGGTGGTGTTACTCGGAGATGTTATGGGCATACTCGCTTCATCCTCCGCACAAACGGGGCATTATATTGATCGCTTTTTCGCCGCCCCCCTCTCCCAAATTTGGAGCAAGTTGTTAAGATCGGGAGATATTTTCACCGCCTTGTGACCACCACATTTCCGAGATGCCACATTCTTCCCCGCCTCCTAGCGAGCATGTGCCTGATGAGATGCCACAACCTTCTCCAAATCATACCGAGCAAGTGCATGATGAGATGCCACATTCTTCTCAACAAGCACATCCGATACATGAACAACGAAAGTGCCTCCTCAAGAAGCCGCAAAGACAAGAAGATGAGAACGCGGCACGAATGGGAACTTCAAAGAAGCATCCAATCACCATAAGGAAAGTTTATGTTCTAATAAAAGACGTCTCGTCGGTGTCCAAGTGGTATTCCCATGACCAGTTCAAGCCTGAGAACCAAGTTAAAAAAGTCCCATCACGGGGTTCTGAGGAGGCCGTCACTAGCAAACTCCACCAAATTGCAAAGCAAGATATCAGATGTTGATGCCATCGAATGGTCAAAAGGATTGCCCGAAAACATATGAAAGAGGCAAGCCCTTCCTACCAAACCGGGACATCCAGTACTACCACTTGGAATGAGAAGGTTCCATGATTGGTACTTATGTGTTCTCCCAATGAGCATAGACCTCATACAAGCATGCTTCCCCCCACCGGTATATTTGGAAGCCCAAATTAAAAATTGTCTTTGACTTTAATGACATGCACACATGCTTTCACCTAGAGAAACAGAGATGAATCTAATTCGCACGTGGTGCCTGTAAGTCCTTGTCCTACCGATATGATATGAATGTAATCTTTGAATTTTGTTGTAACTAACCCACGCCGTGATTTGTAGAATGCAAGTGCACATTGTCAAACAAATGCC